GCAAGGACAGGGACGGCGGCGCCAAGAGAAAGAGACCGCCACGGTTGACAGTAACGGCGATATACGAGTCGATTAAAAAGTCGAATTCAAGTCTGAGCCGACAAAAGAGGAAACCACTGGAGGACGCGATTGAGAGGGTTCTGGATTTCCGCAAAGAAGAAGAGGCCGAATCTGAGGACAGCGACGACTTGTTGGAGCAGGCTGAAGAATACAAAGTGAGTTTTACCTTCCGTCTCCTTCACAGGACCTTCCCTTTTTTTCTGACACCACCTCCCTTTTCATAGCCGGAAGATCGATTTCTTCTCAACAGACAAATGACGAAGCACTGGAACGTCGCTCCGGCGGTGCCCACTGCCCAGGGGTCAGACGGCAAAAGCACCAAGAAACGCCGCATCTCACCTGAGCCCGAGGCTGCCAACGGCAATGGCAACAGTAACGGCACCGGCACCGGTAATGTCAGCGACGCCTCGGCTATTGTCTCCAAGTCGTCAAAGTCCAAGACGGGCGAAGCTTCAGAGACCGCTCAGGCGGCCGTCACGAAGAAGGCGCTCAAGGCGGCCAAGTACGGCCCCGAGCAGATCCCTCCGGGTTCGGTCGTTCTCGGCGGCGTGCGTGGCATCATCGAGGAGCTGCAGCGGTACGTCTTTGCGCGCGCGCGGAAGCCGGAGGATTTCGCATGCTTTGGAGAGCAGCCGATGGGAATCCTCATCTCAGGACCCCCGGGCACGGGCAAGCAGTCTCTCGTGCGGTCGCTTTCTTGGAGGACGAGGACGCCTGTTATCTCTATCGGGCGATACCTTAGCGAGACGCGGTCGCCTGAGAAAGTGAGCAAGATTTTCACCGACGTGCTGGACGAGGCGAAGAAGATTGCGCCGTGCGTCGTCCTGTTCGACCACCTGGACGAATACATGGTCAAGTCGGGCAACAGCCACAGCGAGTTCGACCACGAGGTCATTTCACAGCTCAAGCTCGGTCTCCGGCGCTTGCGGGACTGGGAGCGTGAGGGGCAACGGGTGGTGATCGTGGGCACGACGAGTAAGCTCGAGCTCGTCGACCCGACGCTGCGGAGACCAGACTACTTTGCGCAGACCATCACGGTCAAGGTTCCCAACACGGACGCCCGAGAGGAGATATTCAAGGCCCTGACGAGAGAGCTCGACATACCCTCCGGAGTCGACTTCCAGGCCCTCGCCGTCCGCACGCACGGCTTCGTCGGCGACGATATCCGCGCCGTGATCCAGGTCGCCAACCGCAAGGCCAGCGACCGCTTCATGGATGTAGAAGAGGCGCGCGCCAGGAACACCATCCAGGCCGAGAGAATGGATACGGAGAGCTCCTTCTCGCACGCGGATAACGCCGCCCGCGACCTCGACGACGCCTGCCTGTGGTACGACTATATCGAGCACCCATCCTACACGACCCCGACACGCGTCCACGTAAGCCAGCAGGACTTTGTCGACGCCATCGCCGAGCACACCCCTTACATGCGCCGCGAAGGCTTCAGCTCCATCCCCAGCACCTCCTGGTCCGAAGTCGGCGCCCTGCACTCCGTCCGCGCCGCCTTCCAGGTCTCCATTGTCCGACGCATCAAGGAACCCCTACTCTTTCAGAAATTCGGCAAGCAGCGACCCGCGGGCGTGCTCCTCTTCGGCCCTCCCGGCTGCGGCAAGACGCTCGTCGCAAAGGCCGTCGCCAACGACGCGCAGGCGAGCTTCATCCTCATCAAGGGCCCCGAGCTGCTCAACAAGTACGTGGGCGAGTCGGAGCGCGCGATCCGCGAGCTGTTCACGAGGGCGAAATCCTGCGCGCCGTGCATCCTCTTCTTTGACGAGATGGATTCGCTCGTGCCCAAGCGGGAGAACACCACCACCGAGGCGGGCGCCCGCGTCGTCAACGCGCTGCTTGCGGAGCTCGACGGCGCCGGGGATAGGGGTGAGGTCTATGTTATCGGCACGAGTAACCGGCCCGACATGATTGACCCGGCCATCCTGCGCCCCGGACGTCTTGACAAGCTGCTGTTTGTGGATTTGCCTACCGAGGACGAGCGCGTCGATATCTTGAGGACGATTGTGCGCAACGGCATCGGTGGAGGAGTGCAGCCAGAAGGCCAGGGTGACTGTGATAACGACGTCGTGGACGTTGAGGCGATTGCGCGGGATAAGCGGTGTGCCGGTTTCAGCGGTGCGGATCTGTACGGCTTGTATAAGAATGCGCTGGACGAATGTGTTTTGCGGTACGAGGGCGGAGAGCCGGCGTTGATCAAGAGTGATTGGGAGGCTGCGCTGAGCAAGACGAAGCCGAGTGTGCCGAACCCGGAGACGTATAGGAGGCTGGCGAATAAGTTGCATCATCAGACGTGAGGAAGGGCAAGGATGGGTCTAGAGGTGGACTGTTAGACGAAGAAAAGTTGACTGATAGAGAAAAGTTGAGTTTGTCTTTTCATTGCTGCATTTGTTATCTGGGGGGTTCTGGTGTCTTTTAGAGAGCAATTGGGCTCATATCATGGGTCCTCACCCATATGATTAGGTACCTTAGGTACTGAAGGAAGCCGAGTGAAAGTATCGACTATATTGTTGAACATCTATTCCAAGAATTTGGCCAAGCTACGTACACTTCGTGTAGACGAGCGAACTGCCGAACCTCCCTCTACATGGCTTGTCCTCATCTCATGGCTATTGCTCAAACATCTCATCGCAACTTTTATAAACAAGTACTTCGTATTACCTCTCCGTCACCATCTTGGATCTCATGGCATGGGAATAATAAGAAAAGCATCAGACATTGAACATAGCTTGAGTCAGAGAAGGAGCCAACACCATCACCAGAGGCGATGAAAACACCAGGGCCGGACCCAGCACCCTACTCACCCGCGCTTCTCCTACCCAAAAAAAAAAAAAAAAAAGAACCAGATACGCCAATAAAAAAGGAATGCCACAAGATTCATACTAAGCCAGCGACCCCTTTACAATAAGAACTGAGTTTGATGACAAAAATGAGCTGTCTGTGGCATTATGTAGGACCACCAATTTTTATGAGCACAAACGTACTCGAGCTTGCAACCCTTGCGGGACCCATTACGCTTTTTGCTATTCCATCACTAGGTCATAGACACATCAGACGCTGCTCATACCCTTCCTCGAAATTTTCTCGCCTATGGAGCTCTAGGGCTGGCGGGGAAGGTGTGATGGTAGATGTGCCTGCTTATTCTGTCTGGGAAGGCTGCTGGTCGGCACTCGCCCTCTGAATACGATCAAACGTTGTGGGACTGAGAGTGAGTCAATATGAATTCAGTCTCTACCTATTCAACGTCTTGAATATCTTTACATGAGATAAAGTAAGTTAATTCTTTACCGGCTGATTCTAGCTAGTAGCTGAGGGCTCGGTCGATATACTTTCATGAAGTAGTTAGTTAGGGAGTAATGATTTGGGTTTGTATGGCTAACTGGGAGAGCCGGCAGGTGTGGTTATCGTGAACAGTACCTAGGCAGAGATTGGGGTCAAATCAAAAAAAGTCAACAAACAAGGGACCGATCGAAGGATCGAACATGGACCCCGAAATAAACCGGAATCTTCACGGTTCAACCGGGGCCTCTACAGTTCAGGACCCCTCGACCATACGGCCCATTGCTTGTTGGTGATGTCTGGAGATCATTCACTTCTCATAAGGGGCGGGAGCGGCCAATGAGGAAAGCCTCAGGCACAGGTTTCTGCCTCTATACCAGGCAGGATGCAAGATGGGCTGCAGGAAGCGGTCTGTATAATCTAGGTAGGTTTTGATCCAGTGACCTAGAGTGTTAGAAAGCCGATGTTGGAAACGTTCTTCAGGACTTAAGGGGTGTGCGAAATAAAGACGATTTTGACGATAGCTTCAATTGCACGTCGTTGTTTGGTCACCCATCGGCCAGATGTTCTATGGGATTTTCAGTACATATGAAAATTGCATTTACTCTCCTTTCTCTCCCGACTCTAAGTCGTCAACGATGGTCTATACGGGGCAGACGGACGTACTAGGGATTCCAAGATTGGGCAGACATGCACACCACATTCAGACGTACAGACCTTCTGGGAATTCCTTAGCAAACCGAATGTTTCCAAGCACGAGAAAGTGATTTTGATCACCTTTTGGCCTGTTCTTATTGTGTGTTAATACATCATCTCGGACTTGCCATCTGGTTGCAAGACTACTCGTAGAATAGGTAGCTGTAGCAAGAACCAGGGGCTGAGCGCACGTTCAGTGTCAATCGCATCCCCAACACTTACCATTCACCTCATCTCAGACCTCGCTCTTTAAAGGTTCAACTGGACAATAAGATGATAGTTCAACGCAAGAGTCGGGGAAAGTCCTCCTGCGGACGACGACGATCGTGTGATTGGGTCCAGACTCACTGACCACTGAGAGTGGAGAAGTGACAGTCGTCGACACCGGTCGGGGGCATGCAGAAGATTATACTTTTTCTGATGCTTGCAGAACGACTGCTTGAGCCGCAACGACCTTCAAAAACCGCTATTTTGGAACAATTGACCGACCTTTTCCCGTTGCATCCCGTAACACATTCCTGACATTCATGATTCGGTGACAGGACGGGACCTATGACGAGGTGCCAGGATGACAACACAGAGCGAGTCATCTGACTGGCTGAAGGGGACAGAGTGGCCGCACTACTGCACTACCTGAGTAAGCAGGTTTTTTTTTTCTTTTTTGGCCCCGGCCAGCTCCGGGTCACAAGGCGCGCCAGATCTGACATCATGGACACGGTAATGATTTGCAGGTACGGATGCTACAGGAACAATCAAGAATGGCACGCGCATGTGTCTGTGGCGTTTGTTTCGCAAAATGAAATTTGTTGTATTACAACCGTCTTTGAAAGGGGAGAATTTTCGAGAGAAAATGGGCTTGTTCAGTGAAGCCCCCAAAACACACTGTTCTAGAGTGGTCTATTGGTACAAAACGCAAATCGCCAGTTCGTCTAATGCAATCCTATCGTTACACATCAATCCATCTATTTGGTGACATCCTTGAGGTAGCTGTTGTCATGGTCAGTGAGTGAGTCTTGAGTGAGATGTTGAGTGACAGTGAAAACGTACGCAATGAGGTCGTTGCGGTCCTTCTCCTTCTTGAGACCACCGAACGCCATCTTGGTGCCGGGAATGTACTTCTTGGGGTTCTCGAGGTACTCGAACTGTACGAAGGCTCATGGTTAGCAGAGCAATGATTGAACGTCGTCGGAAGAGCTTACGAGAGTCTGGTCGTTCCACTCGATGCCCTTCTTCTTGTTGGCGTCGGTGTAGGAGTAACCCTCGACGGAACCGGTCTTGCGGCCCCAAAGGCCGTGCAAAGCAGGGCCGATCTTGTTGCCGCCGTCGGCCTCGACGGTGTGGCACTGAGCGCAACGGGTCTTGAAGAGGTTGGCACCCTTCTTAGCGTCACCTAGATTCCTCGAGGTCAGTTCACTGGTCTGGGTAGGTTATGTGTATTCCGCGACAGATTTCGTTGTTCGCTTGGATTGAGTCCCGATGAGAGCCCGACCACCCATAGTGAGCACTCGTCATGAGCGTATACGCTGCTTCGCCGCCCCTGTCGACGCCTCCTTGTGTCTCGCTCATCGGGCCCCTGTTTTTTGCCCCATCAAGCGAGATGCCAGGAAATTGGCGCAAGATGTCGGAGGTGCTAGGAGAAACGAATCGCAGAGGACGTAGGTGTCGCACGAGGTGAAATCGAAGCCGGATTGGCCCGCGAAGCAGTTCCGAACCGTTCCAGACTCAGCGAGGGTAACTTCGCTGCTCAATGGCTCGTGGCGGATTGAGGCGCTCGGAGGGTTGGGCAATCATCGGGATCCGCAAAGCAAAGCGAAAACGGACGGAGAAGACGGCGCGCGCGCGTGAGGTGAGAGAGACTTACCACCAGCCATTTTGACGGATTATAGGATAATTAAAAGGATTTGAAAAGGGGTATCAGGTAGAAGGTGCAAAAGAAGAATGTCTTTTGCAGGTCGTCAAGTAGGTCGTTTGGGGTGTAGATGGTTGAGAGTGAGGAATGGAGGAAGAAGGGGGAGAGAAAAACTTTTAGAATCGGATCGGACCAAGTAAAGAAAAAGACGAGACGACAGTACGGCAAAAAAAAGGCTATCCGATTTTAATTATGACAACAACCCGGCGGAAAGGCACCTGGCGACGTACCCAGCACACGCCGCAACGAGAGAAAAAAAGCCTGGAATGAGCTCACTGAACCTGGGTACCGCGGCGCACAAGCCACACGGTGTGGCGACGCGACCGCCAATCAGATGTGCAGCATTGGTCAGAAGGTGATGCGTCCGGGGGTCGCTACCCGGGCAAAACCGGATACTGCTCCCGGAAGAACGCTTTCTCCGCTGCGCCTCGGTGTTTTGGTGACGGGACCAGCTCGCTTTTTGGCAGGAGTGCCAGGTCAACGACTCAACCAACGGGGCGGCGCGGCGGGCCAGCGGGGACCTTTGTCGGTGTCCCTGCCACTAGCAATTTTTTTGGTCTTTTATCTCTCACTTGTTCCTCTTAGGCTGTCGCCAACATCCCGTTTGCCGAGCTTCGACTGGGATTCCTCAATCTGCCCATATCCGTGCTTTCTGGCCTCTTCCACCTCGGCGTCTGTTTTTTCCAGATCCCGAACTGTCAATCTTGCAGCCAATAATAGCTGTAGTGTTAATGCTGATGCTGCTACTCCGTACACACGAGACAGAGTAGCCGTATGGTCATCGCGATCGTCCATTGAAGTGAGCAAGGGTGGTTTTTCCTATGGGTCAGGTACGTACCCGTACATGCGCCCAGATGCGCGACGGGGGTAGTTCGGCGACCCTTTAGCTTCCAGCCTCTCATCATACCTTACCTGAGCTCCACTGTAACTTTTTGGAGCAAAGAAATTCTTCTGGAGCTTCGATTTTTCCAGCCCCGACCGATCCTGCCGGCGCGCACCTGATGATCCCGTTGATCCATACCAGAGCCTCAATGACGCTGTGAAACAGACGCCTGACCCCCGAAAGTCTAAACCATCGCCGTCCAGGTGACCTACTTTGTTCCTTGACCGCCGTCCTTCGCAACGTCGGCAAACATCGGGCAAGGCAACGTTGCGAGGGTCCAGCACCATTTCTTTGCCGCCGCTGCTTTTATAGTGGCAAACCAACAATATCAATGACGACCTCGGCCACAACCCTCCTCCCCAGGTTCCTCCTCCCGGCCTTGAGCCCCATGTGGCGCGTAGCAGCGACCTCTACCGGTCGGCCGGCCGTAACGGGGGCCTCGGCGGCGCTCCGCCGGAACGCGGTCTGGACGATTCGGTACGCCTCGTCCAAGCCGACAAAGGCGGGCCAGAAGGGACCCCTCATCCTCGAGAAGCCGGCCAAGTTCAACCCGCCCTCCCACGGCGCCCGGTTGCCCAAGAACAATGGCCCGAAGCACTATGGCGGTCCGCTCAGCAACCAGGAAGTCCGCGCCCAGCGCACACGCGAGTATCCCGGCATGATGGCTCCCGAGGGGACGTGGGCGCATTGGTTCTTCAACAGCCGCAAAGTCCACCTCTTCATCTCCCTGGTCAGTAGAACTCAGTGTTCCTCCACTGGCAGGAACACACATATGCGGGACGTAGCTTGTTTGGACCAATGGGTTTAGCTAACATTGGATCCTCTAGGGAACACTCACGACGCTGGCCATCTCGACGTTGGTCCTCAACTTTTCCCAGACATCCCCGTTCAAGCACCTCCTGCCCCCCGCCTCCGAGTTCTGGAGCAGCCCTATCCAGTTCATCCGCACATGGGTACATGTGATGCAGCTCCACGAGCGCGACCGTAACGAAAAGGCCATTGCCGCGCACTCGCGCCACACCGACGACGTCGCGAAGCGTCAGTACTACCGCAAGGTCCACGGACTGGACAAGGAGAACCCCATTGCCAACTTTTTGGGCATGAAGGAAGAGTCGGAGGAGGACAAGGCTGTGGCCGCTGCCGCGATGGAGGCCTCGCCCGTGGCTGGAGACGCCGAGGCGACGGCACCTGCAGAGAACGAGCAGAGGAAGAAGTGGCTTGGCATCTTCTAATTAAGATAGGAGAAGAGAAACCCATCCATGTGTAAGATGTAACGGGGGATGAGCACGCTATTTTTGTAATATACCCTCCACCGAACCATGTACAACATGACATTACAAACCAGAACCGCCAATTGGTATCATGACTTTTGTCTTTCCATTGCCCATCCTGACATATCGCAAAACGTTAAACCCCTTCCTCAAGCCCTAGGGATCGAACCCTTAGGCCAGCTCTACCGCGGCAATCGCCTCCAGCACCTCGTCCGCGACGCCCCCCTTCTCCAGAACCTTGGAGATCATCCCCTCAATCACGTGTACCTTGGTACCTCCTATAGGCGGCTTCCAAACTCCCTCCGCGGCCTGTCCCTGCGCAGCCGGCGGGACTGCCGGTGCCTTTGACGGTGTGCCCGCAAGACCGGTAGCCGGATTCACAGAGTTGGGAACGCCGGGCGCCGTCAACCTCGAAGGCGGGTCGACCGTCCGCACGGAGAGCAGCTTCAGCTGGCGACCGTTAACGTCCGTTCCGTCAGTCGAGGTGGCTGTCTTCTCCTCGGCGACCGAGACCGCCAACGCCGACTCCGCGACGGCGAGCTCCTCGCGCGCGGGGTCGAAGATGACGTTGCCGCCGACGGCGATGACGAGCAGTGTTATGGGCGGGCGCGAGCCGCCGTTGACTGGTGCGCTGCCGTCGCGGGGGTACAGGAACGTCGAGGCCTGCCAGTCGTCGTCGAACATGGGGTCTTCGTCGCCTTCTGACTTGAGGCGCGGGAGGCGGGTTGCGAGGAGCGAGAGGTGGGTTGTGAGTGAGAGGAGGGGCAGCGGGTAGGATAGAGGCGGGGAGATGAGGAGGATCTATTGGGATAGTGTGTTAGCGTCTAGTCTTCAAAGAGACAACGGTGTGTCTGTGTGTGTTGGGGGAGGAGATTGGGGGACAAACGTCTAGGTAGAGCTTCCAGTGGAACCGACTGTTGATCCGTAGCTTCTTGGTAAACTCTCCGTCAGCGAGCAACGCTTCGCTGAGCATGTTGGCAAGGAAAACAGTCGCGGCGTCGTCCTCCCTGGAGGCCGGGATCTCGACCGTTATCTCGAGCCATTCGTTGTTGCCCTTAACCTCCTCCTTCTTGCCCGCGTCTTTCCTCGTCTCTGGAGACTCCTCGCCGTCTACGTCTACGCCAAACGGGCTGGCCGTCTTCTCGATCTCCGCCTTGACGCCTACGATGGCCTCCGTGCCATCGGAGAAGCAGATGCGCGCGCTGCCGTTGGTGCCGGGAAGGATGCCCGTCTCTGCGGTCAGGGGGCGGAACTGGTTTGCCTTGCGGCCGTCTGGGCGGATGGGCGGCGTGAGGGAGAGGGTCGAGTGGAGGTAGGCGAGCTCTGCCGGGGAGAGCAGAACCTGCTGTGCAGACGCCATTGCTTTCTCTAGGTGTGGGGTTTTTTCTCTGTTTTCGTCCCTGTTCGCAGACTGGGTATAGTACTCGCGGAGTTTCGTGTAGTTCCTGGTCGAGCTTGCAACAGCTCAATGTCTCGTCAATTGGTCGTGGTTTCAGGGAAGCTCGATTTTTTTGGCGGGATGTGGTCGCAAAAAGTTGGTAGGATTTGGGCTTTCTACCGAGCAAAGTCAAAGGAAGCAGGGGTTTTTTGATGGTGGGGTCCGCGGGGTGTGGGGCCGGCCGGTGCGAGCTGTCCGGATCGGTGGTTGTGGCGTGAGCTGTGGCTTGAACGGACGTCCACGATCAACGGCTTTACACGGGTTGAGCTTCACACGTCCACGTTCTTACCTCCAATATGCCCACTTGGACGAATTCATTCTCGCATTATGATTGAGGAAATATTGGGGACCAGGGAGCTTCTGCATTCCGCTCAAGTGAGCACTTAGAGACGCGTCCGCGGGGAGGAACATTCAACACAAAACATGGAGTTTGGATCTTCAGCTCTACAGATTATCACCATACAGGTTTTTTCCAAAGTTTCTACTCTGACATATCTCTACACCGCACTGCTTAGCGTAACTTCATGTTATCATGCTATCTTTGTCCACTAAGATCGAGACGGGATTGCCAGTCTCAAAGGCATCTAATCGATCCCACGAAAATGGTTCTGATGTCTGGAGGCTAAGAACTCTTCTATAGAGTCTCAGGAGCTTACTTACATCTGGGTCTTTAGATATCACGTTTGCGTCAGATCTTTGAATAGTTCTGAAGATATACTTGGTACTAGTCAAACACGAATTCATGGCGCTTGTCGAGCTCTCACTTCCACAATACGGCCACTCAGTCTAGGCTTGAGAGCCATAGTATGATAACGCCAGTCAACGTATCCTATTCCGTTAATCTTGTGCTCATGCCAGACTGTTCCAGTTCTCAATTCGGCTGTTGCCATGGGCATGGCATAGCGCCTTTCAAGATCGCCCATATCAGATCGCAGAGAAGACACCACCCTCAAAGGAAAGAAATCTCGAAAATTGCCAACGACATTGGAGGAAACCCGTCATATGCGACGAAATTGAGGAAGCAACAGAGTTCTATTCCATATCCTTGCTGGTCGTGCCTGCTATCTTATCTAATCTACTCGGAAACCTTCATTTACAGTTGGCAGCCGACTCAGACAAAGCTTAAGAAGTGATAGCGACTGGCAGATCTGAGCCACCAAACTATAAACGATCCACTTCAAAGATAATTAATAAGAGTATACGTGCGGTATGTAAACTCTCATGAAAGCTGTAGGGAGCTGTCACCACGGAATACGATGCATTGTCTATCCTAGGGTTACGAGCCGAGACTTGAATTCGTTTTCCCCCCGATTCACTCACGATGTCTACACTATGCCAATGCTTCTCTACATTTAACTCTATGTAAACGGCTAGTGAGACACAGCTTTGTGCTCGCCAATATTTGAGTAATAGTTCCTACTCATTGATTCGCTTTCCCGATGATCTCTTGATACTCAGATATACCGGACTGAGTATCACAGCTATGGAGAGAATATCTACGTGATCATGCCTACTCCCAGAGAAGGATGGAACAGCTCCTCGATCGATGGAGGAGACGATAAACTGCAGCAGTCGAGTAATTGAACCACTGCAAGTGACTTCAAAGGTCGCGATTGCCTCCCTACTACTTCCCCAATAGCGAGCGTGATTAGAAAGTTTGAATCTCTCTCAGTGGTACTAGTTGAACAGTACAATACCTCTCACGTTTGGGAATGTTCACTGGGACTTACTTTTCTTCTCGTTAAGTCGGGGCTTTCCCACACTCTTGCTTTCTCCCTTTTCTAGCCTCAAGAATCTGATGCTCATCCATGACGACGACACCAGAGGCCCGAAGCGACTGGGGAGACTCTTCCCGCCGCTCTACGAAGCGACGTATATGCAGCTGAAGTGAAACAGAAATTCAGGCTAGCTTTGAGTCTCTTGCGAACATTAACACCGGAGGTAACTTGTCATCATCGTAGACACTTCAGTCAAGCATTTGCACAGCCAAGCTGAGAAAGCGTTGTCTTTGCCACGGAAAAGAAAAAAGAAGGAAAGAGCCCCAGATAGCCAATTGCAACTCACCTTCCCTTGCCATCCTCGTTGCTGTCAGCAGTCATCAAACCCTCAACCCCCACGCTGGACGAAGCTATTCCAGGCTAATGTCTAATTCACTTCACACTCCTTCCAGAGCGTGTCTGTATCTCGACGAGCCGCCTCTACGTTGACCCTCCCTCCATCGCTTACAAGGCACATCCAGTAGCCAAATTCATGAGGTAGAAGACATTCAGCTGTGGAGT